GAAATTAAGTGTTAAGGCCATGGAAAGGCAAGTTTGACTCCCTTTCCCTTTAGTTGTTCCAAAACTAGTTTGGACGTGGTTGTTTCAGTAACAATTTCTCATACGAATAGGTTTGTATTCGCTTCTCTTACTCTTTTTCGTCTGTGTGTCAACGTTAATGAAAAGAAAGAGAGGGATGAACTGAACAGACATATCCGTAAGGTCTGGAAAACCTCTGCCAAACTAAAGAATATTTGGCCTTTCTGTGAGCCATGTGGTTTTTATGCTAATGTATGACCTATAGAATGAGTACAAAGACCTTAGGAATAAGTCGCACAAGCGCAAGAAAAAGGGATGACTTGGGTGGGACGCGTTACCGCGTCACAATGTCCCACGAGGTGCGCAAAGTGGGGACGCGTTACCGCGTCACGCTGTCGTCAACGTGTTAACTTCGCAATGTTGTCTAGGTGTAGTTGGTAATTATTAGAGCTAAATCATTAGGTTTTCCATTGCAGCTCAAAGAGTCATTTGCTGTTGAAGAAGAAGGTTTCGACCAACTTGAGGAAGAAGAATCACACAATCTCATGAAGGAGTTTGCGGATTATATAAAGAAATCTAAGGTGCTTGATCAGTTGATTCACACGAACAAGTAGAATCTTGAGCATCTGCACGCATTCATTGTCCAGGTAGTCAACATGGACGAACTGGCCGCACATTTTGGTTTGAAATCTGAAGAGGCAATTTCTCGTCTCCAATATTTCCTTGACAATGGTCTTCTGGAAGGAGTTATGGATGATCGCGGAAAGTTCATATGTATCACCGATGAAGAGTTGAATGCGGGTAAGCGCTTGACATTGAATCTTGTCTAGGGGCGTACTTTGATGCTGATCTACAATATAGTAGATTTAAAAGCAATGGTTCCAAGTCGCATAGTTTCACAAGGTGTGCGACCATCGACGGCTTCTGTAGACTTTCCATCCTAGCCTTTTTATGCGTTATGTCTTTTCTCTGATATGCACTGTTCAGATTAGATAGCCTTTTTCAAAGGAAAATGAGTTGTCAAAACATTTCACAACACTTGGTCAAGTTTCCTTCGACGTCACCGAGTTGAATTTATAGTGGCGAAGTTCATTAACCAACGAGGGCGAGTCACCATACAAGAGTTGGCGGAGTACAGCAACAAGCTGATATGTCTGGAAGGCTCGGCCTGAGCGGCGGCATCGAAAACTCGATTGAGAGCATAAATTATCGTTTTTCTTAACAAAGCTGTGATGTGTGATAATGTAGAATAAAGAATATTTATCTTTCATTACAAAGAAACTAATTTACCCGATATTGAAATTGATGAAGCTGTCTGTAACAGCTTGCAACGGACAAACATATCGAAAGTGTGGCCAAGTTCAGAACTGTGCTAAGACTTTAAAGCTATAAAACATACGACAATTTAAGAAGAACGATAAATATGTTAGTACTGTAGTAAATGCGAGGGAAATTGTAATTGTTATTCTGCACCGGGCCGCTCCATTCAACATTACGCACTTGCTACCTCTTTACATATCAAGTGCTTGAGTGCCATCCCTCGTGGTCGATGGACCACCTGCATCGGTCTGCGAAGCCATTTCTTCTTCCTGCATAATACGAAGGCAGGTTCCTTGTCCGAACCGTGCATCCATAAGGATCTTTTGGATATGCATCTTTGCAATTGCTTTCTGAAATAATTCCCAAATCCCTGAGGTCTAAAATTGTTAAATGCTATGAAAAAAAGACAAGGAAGGAAGTGAATATAGGTATAGCAATGGGGTACCTACAACGACTTACAAATAGCAGCGGTGTCAAAAATTTGAAACTTCAATTTTTGCCTAGTACAAAACCGTCTCAAATTTTCACAGCACGTACAAAACCAACTGAAGAGCACGACGTACAAAATAAGTCCCCAAAATTGTCGTAATTGGAAAAGTTTCGAAAAAATGGCATAACGATGTTTGGAAACCTCCGTTTACCTCATCACTATGATTGCTGCATTTTATTTTTCGCCTGTTTATCCTAATATGTTAGTTCAGTTATCAAATATTATGGGAGTTTCAAAAGATTGTGTAGTGTTATCACCTCCCTAGTGTAGTGAATGTACGTGCAGAACGTATAGTTCACAAAAACGGTTCGCGAGAATGCTGGCTCGTCTCTGAAACTTCTACCCAGAGTCAACCCTGCGTTGCGCAGTTCGCAACGGCACGTTGAGAGATCCTCAACGCACGCTGTATGGGCGGAGACACAGACGGCTCGAGCATGCGAGTGTGAATGTTCGCGCGAGAGAACGTGTCTAATCGGGCGAAACTGCGCAACGTGGCCGTTGAGAACTGCGCAACGCAGGGTTGACTCTGGTTGGGTCATCTCGCCCCACATGCTCAACCAAGAAACAGATTATCCGGGTTTTCTCTCAAATGAGTAAACGCCGGAATACTGCTGAACATCGGTCGGGATCTAGTGAGTATTAGGGAGGGGATACAAGAGAGGTTTGCCAACCAAAAGCCACTGCTGAGCTTCAAAAGCAGGAGAGCCTCACAGATTTCTGCACGTTGAAGGCCAGCCCGGACCAAAAGCGACTAGTCTGCTTAATATTGAGTCGAGTTGCTCCTTTCCTAGAAGTGATGTTAGGAACTTTGAGGAATTTTCTGTCAACAGAAAACCTTATTCTAGGTATCAGATTCGGACAGTTAGAGTTACGTGAAGTAGGGCCATAGCTGAGGATGTGTCAGAGCATTCGGGGATATCCCAGTTCTCAGTACACAGCGAAAGTTAGGCTTGTAAAAGAAATGGATGTTCTACAGAATACCATGATCTAGACTGCAACCGAGTTGTGCACCTCAAAGAAAAGCTCATTCGTTGTGCAATTTACATTCCAGTGAAGAATTCCACCAAAAAACTTGATGTAATGTCCAAGTGTAGGCTTCTTGAGAACCTACCAAAACACTGATTCCTTTTGTGTACTCTGTGTACTCAACAGTTACTGCGTTAGATTCGCTCTGTTATTGAAAGTTTCCTAATTTTTTATGCACCATTCTCAACAAAAGAAACCACATCTTCTGATCGTCGCTTTCAAATTTGAGGTTTTGTGGTTAATACTGAATTTATGAGAATTTTCTTATTAATTAGCCCCGTTAGCAGCGAAATTAAGAAGTTTCCAAAACATTGAACCACTTCTGTGTGTTCGAATTCTACTGGCTAATAATTCACCAAGAAAAAGGTTCCAAGAAGAGGTTCTGCAGTAGCGAATGTTGATCTTATACGAGCCATTCAAATAAAGGCCACAGATGGATAGCTCACCTCATCATCATTAAGAACACTCAAGTTTGAGCTGATGAATTGTTGGAACTGTAGATCAGCATCATACTGGCTTTGGATGTATCCTGCTCCAAGCGATGGTGAGTGGTGTTGAGGCGATGATGGCACTATACGGGTTTGTGGTCGCAGCTGTTCCCCCATCTAGAACAATGAAGCATTATAGGTGAGAAAGCTAAAACTTGTTCCCATAATTTTCAATAGGGACGAGGACGTACCGCTAACTGCATATGTCGAGACTGGCTTCCTCGCGGGACAGCCTGATGGCCACTTACCATCATCGTGCTTAACGGCGAGTCACCCAGTAGAGGAGAATCAGAATCTGAACAGAATTCCTTTCATGTACACATTCAGAGAAAAGGCACACATAGGGCACTGCCTTCCAGATAATGGTGGGTCTAGTTCAGTGTCAACAGGACTAAGTTATTAAATCAGTTGGGGTTCAAGAAACATCTTCCTTCAACTCTCTACACAAAACACACATCCTAGTTGCAAATTTTCCGATGGGCTTAGCGTATCCAGAATTTTTGTTCCTTTCAAAAGAACCACTCCTCAGCACACAACCCGCTCTGTATTTCAAACGCGGTCTTACGTGAGACCTAATTCTGAGGTAGGGGCCAGACTTCGCGTTCGCGATTGGAATCGTCGCGATAGGGACGCAACGCGATCCTGGCTCCGCACTAGAACTGCTCCCAGCCCCAACGTAATCGCGAAATCCGACACCTACTTCGGCAATACATCGGTCATTGATGAACAAGATGCGAAATTTACAATTTCATCAATCGCCTTCACAATGACATTGCTTGACGCAACAGCTCACCGTGCTGTTCGATGACAACAGTTCGTTCCTCTATTCCGTCATCAATGATGATGTCGTCTCCAAGCTGGCCTCGAGGACCAGCCACAGCACTCGACCCTCTTGCCGAGCCTAACGAAGACGGTTCACTAGCTACTGCCGTATTCTGCAGTGAGGAAACTCCAGGCTGTTTCTTGCATGATAGCAATGCGCTTCCTGGGTGGAGGATGGACACTGAAATTGCAGAAATAGTGAATCGCGATGAGCAATCGGTAAAATAGCACTCGGTACATGGAAAATACAGAAGAAGACAAAGCGCGAACCCAGAATCCAAATCCGACACGTTAACTAGTCTGTACACCTTCTGTGCACCGTTCGAATAGTATGAATTTGGATCCACTACCATTGTCATCGTATCTGTAAAAAATTGCACATAAAAAGAAATATGAGCTATGCTTCATTTCTTTAGCATGCGAACTGGAAGACTAGAACAAAAGACAGATATCCGAGTAATATTGATCCGCAACCTTTTTTGACGCTTCCAACCATTCCAGCGCTGCCACTAGCTGTCACGGTCACACCTTCTTGAGGAACTTTCTGGACAAATTGAGAGGAGGAAGAAGTCGGTGCGTGGACCTGAACAAAACTGTTGAGTGGAACCGGAACAACTATTCCTAGGAAGCTGTGTCTTAGCTGAATACAGAAAACCCGGTTTTCACTTTTTCTCACACGATGGTGGGTTTTTCGAGACGAGCGAACCAATCCCCAGATTTCATGTTTTTTTTGCTTGTAAAGCGGGCACTGAAACTACAAAATGTAGTTACTCAGCCACTAGAAGGCAAAACAGATCACGTCTTGCTGACCTTTCCACTCTTATTTATTTATTTAACTCTTGTTACTTCCAACACCAAAAGAGATAAATTGAAGTACAAGGATGAGCAAGACCAAGGCCGGGATCAATGGTGTAGAATAAGAGTGATTGAAGGCTTTAGTAAACTACTTAGAGGTGAAACTTCAAACTGTCACCGCTTTCCTAAGAATAGCCTGGTCGATGGTTTCCTGAAATGTTTTTTCCCTTCTGTTTTGACTCTTTACAAATATTTCTACTGCGTCAAGTTGTAAATTGTAATAAATCCAGTTCGTTTAGTTGTTTTGAGTTTTATTTGCTATAGCTTTAGCTCTGCACACTATCACGAGTTTTTGCAAAGATGAGCAGCCTAAGGAACGGTCACCTAACGCATTTACGAAGCAGCACATTAATCAGGGTGGAACACAAAGCTCCATCGGCTGTCCAGTTTCGCCCAATCCCTCCGTTTCATGCGCGCGATAGCGTGCGGAGCTAAACGAGTATGAATATAATGGTAAAATAGGTCGATCTCTTGAACTCACAATCTGAACTCGTTGCGATCGCGCACTTGTTGAAGATCCTCCAGTAGTTTTTTGCGACTGACTTAAAAAGACTGTAGAAATCTTCCAAAAAATAAAAGAGTAAAAACTATCTCTTACACTGACGTCCCACTTCTATTCGCACTCTCGCCTCCGCCAGGAGTTGTGCTCACCAATCGAATAGTTGTCTGACCTCCAGTAGGGCTTGCCTGTCGAAGCAAAATGTAACCTGAAACATTTTGATAGCACGCTTATAACCAGGGAAACCATTACTGGCGCTCGTGAAGTGGGAAGATGGGAGCCTTTTGGCATAGTAGCTGTTGAGCAACCCCATATCTTGGAGTGGTAAGAAGCTACAGGGTTCGAGAAGTAATTCGCTTGCGCAGAAGGGAACTAGGTGAGTACTAGCTTTGCTGAATACATCTTCATTCATTTGTTATATGCAGGACGCATGTGCAGCACGCAACGAATTATTGAAAAGCCACAATTGGAAACAAAGTCACTAGAAGCAAAAAAAAATCATGAAAAGTATTTGTTAGTGCGATGATGATAATGAAGAAGTGCTTTCTAAAACTGAAGAATATGAGCGTAGTTCGTGAACTGCTTTTTCCGAAAACTGCTGTCCCACGAACCGTGAAGGACCTGCGCCCAACTGTTAAACGTGATTTTCGAGGCTGGAATTTTTCACTCTGATTGTGGATGGCGCTAGCTCATGGAAGGCGTTGCTGCCGAGATCGTTGCATATGAATGGTATCATATCGTACGCTATGAAGATGTCACTCATTGCTCCTCAGCCTTAGACATAGTGCGTCTTAATCTAGCAGCTCACTCCTTATTTCCAAGAGGTATTCTTCTACAGTGAAAAGTGTAAACATTCACAATGGGAAAAATGTTTGCCAATGGATTTATATTATCGCACTCACTGACCCTTACGCCTACACAAGAGCCTAGACGATGGCTTGAAACTAGTTCCGTCCAACCAAGCATCTCCCTACATGATGAAAACTAGCTAAAAATTTACCTCCGCTGTGCGAATCCGCCTGGGGTAGCCGTTGAGCAGTGGTGGTCTGTGAAGGCTGCTGGTATCTAGATTGCTCAATAAGTTGGAATTTTTGGTTCACGTCCGCACTGAAAACTCACCCTGATATCATCACATCGTGGTTGACTTCGTTAAAATAGACATCCTGGGCATTAGTTGGTGACAAAGATATATGAGATTGTGTTGAAAGCGCTAAAATAGATCATCAATCCTTTGAAAAGGCCAAGCATATTGGAAATTCAACCAACGCGCGTCTTCGAATATGTATTCGTCTATCCACTGCATAGATTCGGATAGGAAGTCTGGCGCACATAGTCGATCGGAACCATCCTGAAAGTGTATTTTTTTAATGTTTCTGGTTATATCTCTAATCAATATTTGGCTTGAAGGCAGTTAGAGAGGGGGCCTTGTGGCCCACAGTACTCAAGACATCCACGACATGGCAAGCACTTTCATTTCCATACTTGCACTGCTCCTTAGGTGAATGCAATTTACACTAGTCCTGTGCTATTGCTCCACCTATTCTACTATTTTTTTTTACAATAAAATTGATTAATCTATGGAAACAAGGTCTCAGGACGTCTGTCAACCGTGAGGCTACGCAATTCGACGTCCTCTAGCATTGTCTAGGAGCTATCACACATGCAAACAATTAGATTATCTCTGCTTTCTTTGTTACCTATGAAAGGCTTAGCCTTAGAATTGCCAAAGATGTTACTTTTCCATCTACACTCTCACGCTTCGGTTGACAGAAGTCTTGTCTTTAACCCATAACGGACGGCGTGCGCCACAAGGTGGCGCACGACTATTTCTTTTGTTTTTGGAATGTTTCTAGCAATCTTAATATACCCATATATACTCTCAGCAATGTGGAATAACATATCTTCCCAGGACCTGGACGGCTGGATTTTTGACAAACCTACAATAAATTTTGTCTTAATTTACATAAGTTTACTATTTGATGGGTGGCTTACCCATGGTTCGCACGTCCCGAGACCCCTTCCCCTAAATATAGCCACATCCTTGCTCGGGGTTGTTGTTTCGCATTTTTCGATAATGTCACCTACAGCTTCCATTCATTCTTTGCACCCTAGTTTTAGAGCGGAAAGGCGGGCTACGAACTTGTCGTCAACGGAAATCTCTGCTGTTCGCATAAGCCTACATAAACCCTACCCTGGGTGGCGGCGTGCGCCACATGGTGGCGCACGCGAAAATACACTGGCCGTCCGTTATGGGTTAAGTTACTTACGCACAAAAGGCCTATAATTGCAAATTCTAGGGAAATAATTCAAGAGAAGATATTGAAAAGAAGAAGCAGGAGTGTTTTCCTCACCTCTGCACGTTCGGTTTTTCTTTGAATATAGAGATCACGCAAGCGATCCCACTCGTCGATAAGTAAGCTCAAGTCAGCTGAAAAGTGCAAGATTCTCTCTAGTGAAGTATTCTTCATACCGTCCGCTACATTTTTTTTCGGAAAACGAATTCAGTAAGCACCGGAAATAAGCTTGCAAAGTGGGAGGTTTAGAAGATAAAAAGCACCCAAACCGGCAACGGAGTCAAACTCTATGTTCTGCCGAAAGGAAGCAATCGGCTTCCACTTGACATCCCGTTATCGTATTCGAATGCAAACAAGTCGAATCGTTCTTCTTTAATATTCCTCTTTTTCGACTTCCCTCTACAAAGTGCTAGTTTTTCAGCCTGAATTTTTCTCCTGAAATCCAAGCGCGTTTTCGCTCTAAGAATATTCTATGATACATGTTTCGCTATGATTCTAATAGTATTTATTCTTACGCAAGTAGGTGTCCAGTCAATGAGAATGACGACATTACTGCGTAGTTTTTTTTTTCAGAAATGCAGAAAATAAACGATTGATGTGCTATGTACTTAATAACTACTAATTCCAACATACTGTCAGTTTCTCAATGCTTCGGCGGTGAA